GGTTTTCAGAATGTGGTTCTCGCCGTAGCCCCGCGCACATTTGTTTTGAAACATTTGCAGGACTTTCGCGGGTTGAGGGCGGATGGTTTTCGAAATGTGGTTTTCGCGTTAGCGCCGCGCACATTCGCGTACAAGAGCTTCACGGATTGTGGGCGGTTCGTTTCAAAATGTTTTCGCGAAGGCGCCGCACACATATTTTAAAACGTGCACAAGCGTTTAACGCATTTCCATTGTCCACGTGTCAGACTTGGTGTTTTGGATTCAAGATGGTAAGGGCGCAACGGTTACGTTGATTCGCGGTGTTGGAGTCTCAGGGATGGCGTTCTGGCACGATTCGGGATCGTCAAGACGTAACAGTCATGTCCATCCGCGGCGTTGAAATCCCGAGAATGTTGTTTTGGCACGTTCCGGGACCGTCAAAGGGTTGTCTCCCAACGGGGCACTTCCTTCAGTGGGAATGAACCCTTGCATGGGCCCGTGAAGAGGGAGCTTGGAGGGAGGGTTTCTTCCAGCATCGTGGATGACTCTTGGGTTTACACTGGTCCTCCTCCTCCTCCTCCTCCTCCACCTCCTGCCTCTGGCAGCGGCGGCGGAAAATGGAAGGGGATCACGAGGGTGCCCAGGGCGCCCAGGAGCCCGCCCCGCTCGTGGCGTGGCGGGGACCTTGCGGGCGGGCGGAGGGTGCAGCAGGCTCGAGCCGTGCCCATCGGCGGCGGCCCCGCCGCCGCCCTGCGTTCCACGTTGCAGCGCCGCCGCCCCGCCACGGCGGGCCGCGGGCGAGCCCGCCCGGCTTCACGCCGCCTCCCTCCAGCCGCGCCCGCCGCGGGCCAGCAGGCTCACGATCTGGGTTTCCCAGCTGTGGTCCGATCCATGGTCACTTCGCGTCGCGCTCCGTAGCCATTTTGGCCCGAGGCTCAAGCAGAGGCAAGCTCCCAGACTCCCAGCGCTTCCTGGTGCGGTTGGCTCGCGCCACGCGATGGATCCGCGCTTCGGCGCGCCCGGCTGGGGTCTGCGTCCGGGATGGGATCAGGGGAGGTCTCGTCATGACCCGAGCATTTTTCATCTACCCGCGCCTCCCATGATGTTCGAACCCGACGTCGTGCCGGACTACAACCCGCACGCGCACATCGGTCCCCCAGTCCTTCGCGAGCTCCAGTCGACCCTTGGAAGGCCCGGACTGGCCGTTCGATTGTGGATGCTCGCAACCTTGGTCATGCTGGTCGTCTTCATATTCGGACTGCCGCTCTGGTCACGCTTCTTCAACGACACCCTGGGCTTCGGCGCGCGCTTATGCAGAGCCAATGCCGCAGACATAGTTTGCATGAACGACCCTGACAGCCAAGAGTTGGCTCGCAGGCTTGGGCGTATCAGGGAGGACGGCACGCTCTGGGGCTGCTTCTGCGAGGAGGGAGTCTTCGCCGACTGGGCCTGTACTCAGAACGCCAAGTACTTTTCGGTCAGCCACTTCGTGTCGACGGGGCCTGGCACAGGAGCCTTGGCGTTCTTCAGCGCATTCCCAATCTTGTTCATTTGGTTGTATGGAGGCGCCAACACCACTCTCGCAGCCAATTTCCTCGAGGGATCAGGTGTGCAGAGGCAATGCTATGTGAACGCCCTGACAGTCACGCAGACGGCCTTCCAGTTATTCTATGGCGCGTTTCAGTTCGCATCGATATGCGTCTTTCCCACGGTTCATTTCACCGTGGTTGTCTTGTTCATCATCTCGGAGGTGATACATTTTCTGCTCCTGGCGTGGGTGGCGGGCTCAAATACGCCGATCGGAATGACGATCAGGTGGGTCACGCTCTCTAGCGTCGGCGTGTTGCTCGTCTTCAGCCTGATTTCAATCGTGGCGAACCCAGAGACTGCAAATTGGTTCCAAAGGCACGCCTTCTACCTCGGAGAGGCCGCCGGATTCAGCGGCATTGCCTCGGTCCCTGTGTTGCTTGCCTGGCTGTGAAGCCCACAGCTTGCGCCCGAGGAGCAGACTCCATCGTCGCGACGACGCGGGCCATCGCAGGTCGTTGCACTCGTGCACAATCGCGACAGAGATGGCCTACGGTTGGTTCGCGCGGCGTTGGCGCGCCAGCGACGCCGGCGAAGGCGTGTAAGGTTGAATTCTGCGACGCGGAAGCAGCGACGAACACGGTAACGCCATTGGACAAGATTGAATTGAATTTTGAACGATCGAGGCCGCGATCAATTCAAGGTTGAACGATCGACGCGGTGTCAAAAACCTTTGCGCGCGCCGACCCCGCACGAACCTACCGTACGGTACTGTCGACGCCTCTCGCCCGCGTATGGTCCAGGAGGCCCGGCTCGCAGGACGGCCACCGAGCGAGCTTCTTCTAAGTCGGGCCCGTCCATCTGCAGGAGGGACAGTCAAGAATAGTAAAACACATGTCTGGGGACGACACTTTGAATTTGCTGGTATTTTTGCGCATTTTTTGGCTGGTCTCATTTTTCCTCCAAGACCCGCACGGAGGGGGGCATGCCCGACCTAAGCACATTCTTTCCGACGGCGTGCTGCGCCAAAGTTGCGCAACATGGCGCACCAGCGACCCCGCCGCGCTTTTGTTCTTCCAGGATCATCGGGCGCCCGTCTGTAACTTCCGTCGTGTCGGCCAGCGGCGACCCCGCCGCCGGCATTGAACGTGGAACGCCGCCAGCGACCCAGAATCGGTCAAGTTTTAATTCTTTCTGACGCTCCGGAAACGGCCAGCCGTTCAGGGTTGAACGATCCCCGCGGGGTCAGAAACCAACACCGAAGTCGGCAGACAGGCATGAATACACTTCGATTCTAGGGAAGACCTGGGAAAACGTTGGAAGTGGAGGGGAAGACGAAGCCCAGAACATATGGAAAACTTTGGGGAACCCTGGGAGTCGTGTCTGCGTATGTTTGTGCCCCTGCCCCCCTTCCCCAGACCCCTGGCGTCACGAGCTGTTCAGAGCGCCGACCCCCGGGAGCCTTCCCTGGGGACTGGCTCTTCGCCCAGCGGCCGCTCTGTGGCCGTCCCGAGGCATGGCGGCCCCCCCCCCCCTCGTGGGCCGAAAAGTTAACATCCCGTCGTGATTTGTCATGGCCTCGGCAGCGCTCGGGCATGTGCATTCTTTGCTCGGCGAGGACCATCGAGGAGCATCCTGGACCACCCTGTGAAAGAGCAGGCGCACGCAACCGCCCTCCACCTCCATCTTCCATGCCTTCCGACCTCTGCGGGGGGCGCGGGAGGTGATGCACTGAAACAATTAAGAGCCCCAGGAAACGCCAGAAAACTCAGCGTTTCACGAAGTGCAAGAGTGTGGGAGGTCAGCACGGCAGGTCTGGAAGAATGAGGACGAGGGCGAAACGCGCACGCGGCATGGGCGTCCGAGCGACCGAGCGATGGCAGGTGGCCCGAGGGGGTTCGGCATAGACTGCTCCAATGTACTTTGGCGTTGGTCGCCAAAAAGAATGTCGAGCACCCAGGAAGTACCGAAACTGGGGGGTTTTCGCGTGTCGGGCCCCGGGAGGCGGCACTCGTTCGACACCGTCTCGACACTTTTTTGGGTTCTCCAGGCATGATTTCTGGGATTTGGCCCTTGAGCACGAGAAGGTTGGGCATATAGTGTGGCCTCTGCTGTACCGTGCCCGGCCGCCCTCCCGCAGGCTCCCCGACCTCTGCGGAGGGCGCGGGAGGTGATGCACTGAAACTGTTGAAAGCCTCAGGAAACGCCAGGGGGTCTGGCATACACTGTGGCCCGAGGGGGTCTGGCATACAGTCGGGCCGCTGAAGAAGGAACCCTCGTCGTTGGGGAGGGGCCGGGTGTTCCTTGATTGTTTCACAGCTTGCCTGGGGTCTTCCTGAAGTTCTCGACGAAAGATCGAAGTTTTTTCTGATGGGAGCAAGGGGCCTCGTTCCCTACTTCGGGTTCCTTGGGTCGGGGCCCGTGCCTGCCGTGCCCGGCCGCCCTCCCGCGGGCTCCCCCTGCTCCGCCCGCCCGCCGGCCCCCCCCCCCCCCCCCGCGCCCCCCCCCCCTCTCGGGGCGCACAGGCCGGCAGCGCTCCCGGAGACGGCCCCCGGGGAGCCCCCCCGGCGGCGCCCGCCCCCGCAGAACCCCCCGCGAAGTGGCAAGAGTCAGGAGGGAACAAAAACCACACAGACACAATTAATCGGCGATCCCCAGGAAAATATGGGAAAATATGGGAAGTGGGGGGGGAAACGAGAACCGCAAAAAAACGTATTCAAATGTGGGGAATGCTTTTGTTTGTGCGTATTGGTTCGTGTGTCCCGGGGCCCCTTCAGAACCCCCCGCGAAGTGGCAAGAGTCACGCCGGGAGGCTTTTCTCAATTTTCGGCCTCCAGGGGCCCTCGGTGGCCAGAGGAGGAAAGGTACCCATGCCTCCTTTCCTGGTTTTCCCCCTTTCGGGCCGCCTCGGAGGCTCTCGTGGCCGCCGCTGGAGTCGCCCCAGAAATTCTGGTCAGAACGCACTCCGGGAGAGGTCCAGGGAGTAGCGGTCCGGGGGCCGTCGGTGGGCCTTGGGACCGTGCGAAAACGACTCGGGAGGAAGAACGGGTCCCAGGGCACTGGTCGAGGCTTCTGGGGGTCGGCGTTGTGAAGAAGGGCGTGCGAAAACGACTCGGGGGGAAGGACCGGTCCCAGGGCACTGGTCGAGGCTTCTGGGGGTCGGCGTTGTGAAGAAGGGCGTGCGAAAACGACTCGGGAGGAAGGACCGGTCCCAGGGGCACTGGTCGAGGCTTCTGGGGGTCGGCGCTGTGAAGAGGGGGCCCGCTCTGCTGCAGGGGCCCAGGGGCACACTGAGATCTCAGGAGGGGAAAAAACACACAGACACAATTATTCGTCGATTCCCCAGAAAATATGCGAAAATATGGCAAGTGGGGGGGAAGACAGAAACCCAGAAAATATGGGAAAATATGGGGAATCTTTTTATTTGTGTGTATTTATTTGTGTGTCCCAGGGCCCCTTCAAGATCGGCGGCGAGCGAGGGGCGGACGTGAGAAGGAGAAGGGCCTCTCAGAAGGCGGCGGGGCTTCTCAGGAGCCCTCGCGCCTTCTGGGCGGTTGTCCGTGTCCCCTCCTCCTCCTCCTCCTCCTCCTCCTCCTCTCTCCTCCCCCTCCTCCTCCTCCCCCTCCTCCTCCTCCTCCTCCTCCTCCTCCTCCTCCTCCTCCTCCTGCGGAGGCTGGGGGCCGTCCGATAGGGAGGCCCCCGCCCCCCGGGAAGGCAGCGAGCGCCTCGCGTCGTGGTGCGTTCTCGGCCCCGAGGGGGGCGGCCCGGGGCAGGGCAGGGGGGCAGAGGGGGTCTCGATCGGGGGCTTGTTTTCCACCACCACCACCATGAGTAGGAGGAGGGGGTCCTCCTCCTCCTCCTCCTCCTCCTCCTCTTCTTCCTCCTCCTCATCCTCCACATCCTTCCCCCCTCCAACTTATGGTGGTGGTGGTGGAAAACAGGCCCATCACTCGAGGGCGAGGGCCCAGCCGCCCCCCCCCCCTTGGGGCCGTGGTAGCTGTAAGGGTAAGCATAAACAGCCCGAGGGCATATGTTTCAGGCACGGAGGGTGTTACAGCAAGGGCCCCAGGGCAGAACGAACGCCCCCCGATGTCTGAACAGTATCCCAGGTCATGGCGGGACATGGGGGGGGAAGTCCCTCCAAGTCGTGGCGGGACATGTGCTCTCGCCACTTCCAGCTTACGGGGTCCCTTTTTGGCCCTCGGGGCCGTCAAGGTACGGCTCGGGATGAAGAGAGCCGGCCCCCCGGAATGGGTCCAGACCGGTGGGGTCAGGAGGGAAAAACCACACACAAAGACAATTCATCGGCGATTCCCAGGCAAATGTGGAACAGATGGGAAGTGGGGGGAGGACGAACCCCAGAAAATAGTGGAACATGTGGGGGATCCTGTTATTTGTGTCTACTCATGCGTGTGTCCCAGGGCCCCTTCATGGGGGTTCCACGTCATGAATCGGCGGCGCGCCCGGATGGGAGTGAGAGGGGGCGAGCCATCTCAGAAGGCTCGGAAGTCCCCCAGCCTTTTTGTTCTGACGTTTTTTCGAGGCCTTCCCCGAGGACGCACGATACTGCTCAGAAGGCCAGAGGGCTCCTGAGAAGCCCCGCCGCCTTCTGAGCAGCCCCGCCGCCTTCCGAGAAGGCCTTCTCCTTCTCGCCTCCCCCCTCGCTCGCCGCCGATCCTCCCCCCCTCCATCCGAGCCCCCGAGGTCATGAAGTCGCTGGACCCTCGAAAGGACGTGGCCGTCTCGTTCATGGAGCTTGGCAGGGACCACGTACCGGAGGAGTGCCCCGCCGGGGGGCTCACGGGATGCGCTGCCGCCGGTGTTGCGGCGGCTGCCTCGCGCTTCTGCTGAGAGTGCTGGGCTGCTGGGGCCGCTGCCGACCGCTGCAGCTGCGTGCTGCTGCGTTGCGCCGCTACTTGCTGCGAGCCGCCATTGCCTTCTCTCTCTCTCTCTTTTTATGTTTTCTCTCTATCTCTCTCTCTCGCTCTCTCTCTCTCTCTCTCTCTCTCTCTCTCTCCCCCCCTCGTTTTCATGACTTTGCCCCTGCCTATGTTCCCCCCTCTCCCCTGTTAAGTATTCGGTGTGCGCGTTGCTTATGTGTTGCTGATTATCATGGTCGGTGTTGTTCCTCTGGTTTCTTACTTGGGTCTGCTTTTTTCGTCATGCTATGATTCAACCATGCTACCGTTGCATGCATACGTTAGTCGGCACTGACCGTTGATACAGTATCGAGTACGTTCAGAATTCTATGCCTTTCGTGTTCGAGTGCGTTGTCTACTTGAGTCTCTAGTCGTTGTGCTAAGCGGTCCGCTTTCGGTGTGGTATTCCAGGTCTTTCAGCGATGAGATCGCTGACGCAAGATCCCTGCTGTCTTCTTGTGCACCCGCGTCCGAGTGACCGAATAGACGACCATTGCCCTTCTGCATTTACTCTTCACACCGCTCTCAGCAGGCCTTTCCTCGTGTCCCTTCTCTCCCTCTCTCCCTTGTGCTCTCTCCCTTCGCTGTGCCTTGGCAGAACAAGTACAGGAGGAGGAGGTGCAGGAGCAGGAGGAGGAGGAGGAAGATGAGGAGGAGGGGGCATCTTGGGAGCCTCTGGGGGCACTCTTGGGGCCTCGTGGGAGCTTCCTGGGAGCCTCCTGGCTCTTTGGGGGCGTCTCGGGGGCCTCTTTGGCCGTCTTGGTGGGCTCCTGGCCCGTCTGACGCCTGCGGAAGCCGTCTTGGGGGCCTCTTTGGGCTGTCTTGTGGCCCTCTTGGGGTGCTCCAGGACAGTCTGGGAGGCCATCTTGGGCGTCTTGTAGGCCTCTTGGGCCATCTTGGGGGCCTCTTGGTGCCGCCTTGGGGGCCTCTTTGGCCGTTCTGGGGCCGTCTTGGACGCCCTGGGGGCGATCTTGGGGCGATCTTCGGGGGCTCTTGGGCCGTCTCGGGCCGTCGGAAGGCCGACCAAACAAATCAAATGTCAACATGATTCAAAAACCTTAGGATAATCAGTGATTTTGGCATTTTCGGGTCTTCTTGGATGCCCTCTTGGAGGCCGTCTTGGGCCAGCTTAAACGCCAATTTCGGCCATCTTGGTGGCCCGTCTGACGCCTGCGGAAGCCGTCTTGGGGGCCTCTTTGGGCTGTCTTGTGGCCCTCTTGGGGTGATCCAGGACAGTCTGGGAGGCCATCTTGGGCGTCTTGGTGGCCTCTTGGGTTGTCTTTGTGCTCTCTTGGGGGCCTCTTGGGCAGTCCTGAGGCCATCTTGGAGGCCTCCTGGGCGTCCTGGGGGCGATCTTGGGGGCCTCTTGGGCCGTCTTGGGTCGTCGGAAGGCCGAAAAGGAGCAAGTACGAACAACCTTTTAAAACCAGAGGAAAATCAATGAGTTTAGCCTCTTCGGGCCCTCCTGGAGGACCTCTCGGATGCCTCTTGGGCCGTTCTGGAGGCCTCTTGGGCACCTCTTGGGCCGTCTTGGGCCGTCTTGGAGGATTCTTGGGCGGACTTGGAAACATCTTGGACTCTCTTGGGCCGTCTTGGAGACCATCTTGGACCATCTTGGGCGAACTTGGAGGCCATCTTGGAAGCCATCTGGGCCATGTGGGAGCCATCTGGAGCAGGAAAACCTTTTGGAACCACCCTTTCCGGGCCATTCCCAGACCCCGGCGTGCTGGGCCGGAACCCCAGTGGACTTCTTTTGGAAAAAGAGCCAAAACCAAAAGCGAAAGGATTTAGCACGCTGGGCACCACTGTGATGAATCAACAGGGGGCGGCGGATCGAATTGCGTTCGGCCCACCCCGCCACCGTGCCTGGGTTGTGAGTCTTAAGCTTCGTCGGCATTCCGTGGATCTCGCGCGAGGCCTCTCGGGGGCCTCGAGGAGGCGGTTTGAATGCATCTGGGGGACTGTTCGGGGGGCCTCCTTGGGCTTCTTCGGAGTCTCTTGGGCCGTTTGAGGGCCTCTTAGGGTCTCTTGGTCACCTCTTGGAGCCTCCTGGGGCTTTGTGGTGGCGGAAGATTTGTATGTTCGGTTCGTGGTCCCTCTTTACCGCTCCTCTTGGGACCATCTTTGGGCCCTCTTGGGCTGTCTTGCGCACCTCTTGGACCGTCTTAGGGCCCTCTTGGGCCGTTTTGGGGGTCTCCTGGGGACATCTTGGGCTGTCTGGTGGCAATATTTCAAGGCCTCTTGGGCCGTCTTGGAGCGTCGGAACGCCGTAAAGTCGAGAGGGCCACCATCTTTCAAGAACCTAGGGAACATCAGTGACTGCTGCCTCTTGGAGCCCTCTTGGGTCTTGGATGCCTCTCGGGGCGTCTTGGAGGCCTCTCGGGCCGTCTGGAGGCCATCCAGGGCGCTTTGGGACAGTCTTTCGGTGGCAGGGGGGCCCTCTTGGACCAGGGCTGGGGGTCCAAACGGTGTTTTTGGTGATTTCGGGGGCCGTTTTCGTTCCGACTTCGTTGTGCAGCTACGGCGGCTTGAGGACAAAACGCGGGAACACGAAAAACGACACGACAACGAAAAACAGCGTTCAGGTCCAGCCCTGTCTTGGACCGTCTGGGGGGCCTGCTGGGGCCCTCCTGCTCCCTCCCGAGCCCGGAGAAGTCGCGCGAACGGCCGCGAGGAGCCCCCCCAGGGGGGGCACGCGGCGGGCCCCAGAAGAGCTGGCGATGCGGGGTCCGGACCCCTCGAGAACCCCGCGGCTCGTACACGGGCGGGGCCAGGAGAGGTGCGCGGGGAAGGCCCTTGTGAAAAAAAAGCCAGGGATGAAACAACTCCGGGGGTGAAAAAATCCCCAGGGGTGAAACAAAAGCATGGTTTGTCACCCCCGGGTTTTTTTTCACCCGCGAGAGCCCTGCGGCTCGCATACGGGCGGGGCCAGGAGAGGTGAGCGGGGAAGGCCCTTGCCCTGGACTCGCAGGGTGGCGCGCGTCTCGCTGGGTTTTTAAAGTCAAACAAAAGAAAAACTCGGGAACCCTCAGACTCGATGATTGAGGCCCGGGGGATGAGGCATAGGACCTGAGGGCACGATGACTCCGTGCCCAGAGGCACCTTGGCGGGTCCGTCCTCGTTCTTCCGGTCTCCTTCCTCCTCCCCGTCTTCCTAGAACATAATATAGGGGAATTCCCAACAGTTCTTTGGAAGTTACCACAAACTCTCCCTGCTCTTTCCCCATCCTCCCTCCTCCAGGACCGTTCTTTGGACGATTGGAGATCCTCGTGCATCTGCCTGCGACTCTCCCCGCTCCCTCCCTCCCTCCCCCGTCCTCCCTCCCTGCCGTCCTCCGGCGTCCCCTCCTCCCTCCTCCCCCGCCCTCTCCCCCCGCGTCCTCCTTCCCCTGTCCTCCCAGGGAGGAGGGAGGAGGGAGGAGGGAGCAGGGAGGAGAGGGGATGGAGGAGAGGGAGGGAACAGGGAGGAGGGACGAGGAAGGAGGGCTTTCTGCTTTTGCTGGGGAGGACCTCAGCGTGCGAGTGTTCCGTGACATCGCGAGCCAGGCCAGCGTGGGCGGACAGCTGAAGTCGCCG